GTACACAATGCAACGTATATCCCATTTATCACAAATACTCTGTTATTATTATGTTGCGTTTAACACCACTATCTCAAAGGGTATCATTAGGTAATAAAGAGAAAACTACATTACTCTTCTTGTGTTATCATTTCGTATCAGAAGGCTCTTACATGATCACACCAACACTTAGACTCGTGCATTAATGCAACTAATTAGTTGACTACGTCACTAAACTTTGTTGATTATTTTGCTATCATGAAATACTGTGACGCATTAAATAGGCCTTTGTTGTGCATATCGCCTGTTTAAGATTTACTAGCGAAAGCAATTACTCAAAAGCGATAACAGTACCCCATCGTGACGAAATTCAGCAACGTGTGAATATGCCATTTTACGAATATTACGTCTTCTACATTGGCATCACTTTGCAACTCGACAAACACTAAGTATTAATGGAGCAAAATTTGTAAAACAATATTTATTTCGATAAATACATTATTAATATCACAAAAATTCCATCATTTACACAAATATTATCGTTTTTCATCCCAATTAGAATGTCTAAATGTATTGAGTGATTGCGGGATTGAAGACCATAATCTGGAAATTGAAAATAAACATTCAGTCAAGATGTGATGAGTTAAATAAATAAACATATAATACAGTACGTACTAGTTAAATGACTATCTCTTCACCGTTATCTGACGAAATAACCAACTCAATTTCCTTTATTTCTGAGCAATTTGGTAAAAATCATGAAATTATAATTACCTCGATATTTAATCCCTTTCTCATCATATACGTAAAATAAACTTCAAAATTTGTAATTATTTAGCATTTTCTATCATAATTGACATTTTCCAATGAGCTGTTTCATTTCTTATGCATCTCGGGATGTCAATTCGATGAAAAAACAGCATTTTGTCAACACAATGAAAACGATTACTTTTCTCACCTTTTACACGTTTTTTCGTTAAAATATGATTTTTAAAATGCATTTCTGTCGAAAAAACCACTAAAAACAACGTAGAATAGCCTAAACACAACACCACGATAACACCTTAAAACTGCAGCAATCAGCTGATTTGTGCCTCTATCCTCTACCCGGCACAAATGGCTTATGGAGAGGCTGAGCACTTGAAGGTCACATATGAGCATTGTGATTGGATAATTCAAGCGTGCGTTAACGCAGCGGCAATACGAAATAGGCGTGAAAGTGCTTATTTAGTGATATTTTAGTGATGTGTGATGATGTACTCAGACTATTCGACGATATTTTGAAGAGCAAAAGTTTTAACTCCTGGGACGTATTCGAGGATGCTTTCAAACAGTTTAACAAAGTTGCACAAACACAATAACAATTTCGCTTTATTCCAGAAACAGTACTTGTGGTACAGTATGGAATTTTCAGCACATATCTACAATATTGCATCTAATTTCATCATACATTTACAAGGAGTATTATAAATAAAAATATTTAAAAAAAAACAAAAAAAAACAATAACAACAAAAAACCAAAAAGAAACACAGAAATAACAAAAAAATGCAATAAAAATACGAAGTAAAAAGGAAGATAAACACATATAATGAAGAAATATTTCATTATTGGTTAGTGGAAGCTACGATGTTGTTATGTTGTCAGAAGTAGTCGTATTGACAGGAATAATCCGATTTTGAGATATGAACGGGTGGATTATGTGTGTACATTCGGTCAGAAAAGAAGAAGCCGATCAGAAGGAGTGAGACCTGGAACACCGTAGGTGTATAATTTTGTTTATTCCTGTTTTTATCAGTTTTAAGTGCATGGGTTGTACGTCAAGTTTCAGTGTGAACAGTGTCAAGGGAAGTCTGGTTGTTGGTGATATGAGGGGTGAACATAATCATCCTTGTACACAAGAGTATATGATGGTTGACCATAGCAGACGTAAACTATCTGGAATGCAGAGAGTCATAGTTGATAGTATGGTGGAATGTATGATTTCAACTTTGGAATTGAGAAATACAGTATTAATTAAATTCGGGAAATATATCAGCCGACAAGATGTCGTTAAATTGAAACAGAAGATGACCGCAGGTACAAATATATGTAACATAATTGCTTTATCTTCCTGAAGGTATGAACAGTATGCATTCTGTTCTGCAATTATTACGGTCGACAGGAGAGGTTAGAACGAAGAGTTCTAATGGTCAGCTTGATGTCATATGTTTCAGTCTGCACGAGCAAATAAAGTTTTATGAGTCTTTTCCGGAGGTAATATGCATTGACTCAACGTATAAAACGAATAATTTGGGGTAGTTAATTAATAATAGTGTAATGTTTGAAGATTCAGTCTATTTCAATTAGTTGTAACTGACGGATGTGGAAAGGGTGCCAGTGTAATGTTTGCTTTTTGTCGGAGGGAAACTGTTGCAGATATTACACACGTTCTCAGAATGTTTCAGTCCATTATGGGATATACGGATGGAACTAAAACATTTGTTATGGATAACTGTCAAGCAGAAATTTCTTCGGTGAAGGAGGTATTCCCTCACTGCCGAATAATTCTTTGTTCATTTCACGTGCTTCGAGCCTTCGGTCGCAAGGTATTTGCGTAATAATAATTCCTACTGTGTTTTTATTCAGTTTCGTAATCCTGAACTACGTTATGCACTGGAAAAGCTGGTTTCCACTCGGATTAGACCAAAGTAAGTTATGCATGAAGCATAAAAATGGTAAATACGTAGGTTCTCATACTTCTATTGTTACATCCGTAATTCGTTCCCCCAAGCATACAACTTTTTAAGTGGGCATTGGATTAACACGAGGCACATGTGGGCTCGGTGTTTTTTCAGAAAAGCGGTCACTTTAGGCAATCACACTAACAACAGGGTTGAAATTGCTCACAAGTACTTGAAGCTGCATCTCCGAAGAAATGATCCCTTGTTGTTGACCTTATGGAAAGTTCATCATGTGTCCATAAAAAATTGGAGACTTCGGTCGTACGATACTCTATTTAAATTACAGAAATTTCGTCAGTTCGACGTAAGTGTAAATTTTCTCTTATACTATTTTATAGGTTCCTGAACCAATTCAAAGGCAACTGGACAAATTAACACCGTATGCTGCTAGGATTGTCTACCAGAGTTATGGACGTATTCACAAACTCAATCACGAGTTAATAAGCAGCAACATTATTGATTGTTTCGATGGAATGCAGGACCACATGGTTGATACTTCCACTGGAGTGTGCACCTGTCACCACTTCCATGATTTCCGTCTCCCTTGTTCACATGTCCTCTACGCCTACTATAAGGGATTGTTCACTGGAGGTAAGATAAATTGGTGTAATACTTACGTATTCAATGTTAGATCTATTGCAATACAGCCGTAGGTGGAGTAGAGAATACAACCTTAATGTTACCACGAGGACAATACAGCGAGTTAATATTACGGATTCTAATGTAGACGAATATGCTCAACGAGTGTGGCAGTGTCTTCAACGCCTAAAGAAAATAAATGCAGATATTGCGCTCGATGTCGCATCCAGACATTACAATGAGTGTGAAAGCATTCTCAATGATCTGCTTCCGTCTGTTCAGTCTATGGATTGTGAATAGTCATTTACATGTTAACACAGATGTTAACGTTTTGTGCAATATGAAATTGAAACAGTACTTCTGTGATGAATTCATTTTCAATCATGTGCAATTCAAAAGGGTACAGTTAGGAAAAATTAACATTAAGAACTTTTAAAGGTGGGTAACACATCCATACACCTATCGACGTTTTCCGTTTAACTATGTTTATTTGTAAGCGTATCGATGTATTTCAGAGTAACAAATGTTTTAAACTTAGTCATAAATCCGTTCGTTGCATTATATTTGCAATATACGTCTCAATGGAATTGAGATTCTAAGGTACTTGATTTATTATTGTTACATTGCATAACATTAATTAATATGCTTACGTTTATTTTCTTACAATTTGCAGTTCATCATGCGCAACAGATTTGCTTACAATGTAAACGGAGGGCTATGCCGGCCTATATAACCGAACTTTGGAAATTTGGAGACTTGGTGCCATCAAATCACCCACTAGAAGTCGACGTATCAGTTTTACCTTTTCTTATTATGTACATAATCTAATTGTGCATTGCAATAAAAATAAACCTTGCCTATAAGCAATCTTGTCTCTCATTTCACATATTCGCTTGGGTAGTACGGTATGTTAGACCGGTACTTCCTTAGGTAGGAACTTTCAAATGTACGTAAGCTTAATCCCGTATTCCCGGAAATATTTCAGGTTAATTGTACTTAGGCATTTCCATTTAAATCTAATGGATAAAATATATTTTGTGCGCCGTAGTACTATAGCGTCAGAAGCTCACTTCATTCTGCAGTACTTTGTTGCTGTCGGTTCCATTCAAAAATCCCTACAAATATCTACAGAATTGTAAGTTATACCAAGCAAAATAAAGCGCATTATCAGTAGAGAATCTCAATCTTGTTAACATATACCTTTTCATATTGATTACATACGTAGACATTTCGTTGTCATTGTATACACTTGTACACGCTGAATGAATATCTTCCTTGGAAATCACTTACACAACATGTGATACTTAAGGATTCCTTTACTGAAATGCATTCAGGTATTTCGTAGTCAATTTTTACTAAGTAAATATACCCTATCTATCACTAGTAGTCCATTATCTTAGAGCAATTTCTAAAGTGAATTCATCAAACAATGAGATAATAACTACGCCCTTACACAATCACATAAGCACTTATACTTATGTAACGCTTGTCGTCATCAACCAAATTCAGTGACTGCTTAAGTGTTACTAGGAAATAGAACTTATAACGTAGTATGTCACTGTGAAAACTGATATCCTAAATAGAAAATTTTACGCACAGTACGTCTTCACTTTAACATCACTTTTCACTGTGACAAACAACAAGTAGAAATAATAAGAGTTCATGAAAATTTTACAAATATTTCTATTAGTGAATACATGGATCATATCAAAAATATTTCATCAACCCCACAAACATGTTTTCTGCTTAACATAACTGGAATGCATAAACTCATTAAATGACTTCAGGATTGAGGACAATAATCTGCAAAACAAGAATTACATAACTTCAGTTCAGCATTCATTACTTACCTAAGGATTTTGAAATACTGTACAAAAATGTTATTAATTTGGCAGTTGATTATCACCACTTAATCACAGAAATTAACTTTCCACCTAGGAAATCTAAATATTATCATAAAATCAAAACTACACCTTTGTTCAACTCATTTCATCATCAGTACATAAAATGTGCCCCATTTACACAAATTAGGCAATATTTCCTTTCATTAGCCAACTTTTCTATTAAGTATGACGTTTATTATGCATCACACCTTGCAAATTATACGACAATACAGCAGTTTGCAAACACACAGAAAACTACCATTTTTCTCACTTTTTACACGTTTTTTCGTTAAAATACGATTTTTAAAATGCATTTCCGTCGAAAAAACCACTAAAAACAACGTAGAATAGCCAAAACACAACGCCACGATAACACCTTAAAACTGCAGAAATCAGCTGATTTGTGCCTCTATCCTCTACCTAACTGTAACACCCAGAAGCAACAGACACAATCAGCGAAGGAAGAAGAGGAAGATGCGAGAGGAAGGTCTATATTTCCAGCACGCAGGGCTCGAATTGCCCGGGTACAAGCTAATCATTGTCATTTATAACAAGGTTAGACAAACGGTCCTCCACCTGTTCCAGCACGGCCAGGCCAGCGTTCTTATTTTTTTTTTTGATTTACAGCTTGATTCCACACTGTATTTTCGGTACAAGTATGGAATTTTCAGCATGGATATCGGTAGCCCAAATTTCGCAGGCCGACCATAGATATCAGATGTGCGTCGGTGCGGGCTCGAACCCCGGACCATGTGCATGGTCGGCGAGAGTCCTGACCACTGTGCCACCGACGCAAAAAGAGGAAACAGGAGACTCATTTAGTGATGTCATGTTAGTTTTTATATCATTACATCGCTCCCTCCCCTCTGGAGGCACTGTCCTCAGTGCCTGGCGGCGGTATAGGGTATGCACTACCTCCATCAGTGGGCACCTCGAAGTAGGTCGTAGCTGGTGGCGGTTGCGAAGATGTCGACGGTTCTTTGACAGCTGGTGGACAGTGTGGTTTCAGCTGGTTGTAATGTGCTGAGATGAGATTTTCCTGGGGGCGTCGCAAGTTCCGCAGGACATATGTAGTTGGAGGTCGGTGTTGTACGATTTCATATGGGCCTTTCCAGGGGGCGTAGAACTTGGGGCACGAACCGGCAGGGACTGACGGCCGATGAAGCCAGACGTAGTCACCCGGGGAATAGGTTGGTCCGTGGGCAAACCGATCATAGTTGCTTTTCTGATGCTGCGAAGAAGACTGCAGATGTCGACGTGTTAGGTTGTAGGCTGTGTCGAGGTGGTGACGAAGGTTGCGGACGTAGGGAATACAGTCGATCTTCTCGTATGGTAGCAACGGTGTCCGGATCTCAACAGGAAGGCGAAGTTCATGCCCAAACAAGAGTAGAGCCGGGGAAAATCCGGTCGACGAATGCACGGAGGAGCGGTATGCAAGCAAGCATTGAGGCAGGACATCGTCCCAGGTGTTCTCCGGTGCGTTGTGCAAAAAGGCACGAAGAAGATGCTTGATGGTTCGGTTGGTGCGTTCCACCAGTCCATTCCCTTGTGGATGATAAGGCGTAGTATGGGTCTTTCGAATGCCGAAAGCATTGCAGATGTGAGAGATAAGAAGACTCTCGAAAGCAGCGCCTTGATCAGAGTGTAGATAAAGAGGGGCACCAAAACGGGACACCCAGTTGTCGATGAAAGCTCGCCCGATCGTCAGGGCATCTTGTTGCTGCAAGGGGACTGCTTCGCACCACTTGGTGAAATAGTCGACCATGACAAGTATATAACGATTCCCGCGTCTCGATGTTGGTACTGGCCCAATGATGTCGACTCCAACTCGATGATTAGGGGCTTCGGTCAGCATAGGTACTAGGGGTGCTCGGGGAGTTGGCTTAGGCTGTTTGATCTGCGCACATATAGCGCAATTGCGGCAAAACTCCATAACATCATGGTGTATAAGTGGCCACCAGAAGCGTTGACGGATGGCGTGTTCAGTTTTCTGTTGGCCAGCGTGTCCCAGTTGATGATGCACCTGACTAATAAGCTCGGGTACTTTAACAGTTGGGACGAGGAGTCGGGGGTTGGCATTTGGTTCCACTATGTAAAGAACATTATCTATAAGTCGTAGTAAACCCCACTTCTCGCAGATGCACCGCGTGGCTGCTGGTAAATCCCGTAGTTCTTTGGACGTCGGTTTATCGTTCCCATGCTGTTGACGTAAATAAATGGGCTGTATCGTTGTGTCCGCCGCTTGCAGGGAGGCCCAGTCGGTGTCAGCTGCAGCACCGAGTAACACATTCAGTGTGTTCTCGCAATCGGGCAGGCGAGAGAGAGAGTCGGCGTTACCATGTCGTTTTCCAGGCCGGTATTCACAAATGAAATCAAACTCCTGTAACCGTTCCTGCCAGCGGGCAAGTTGGCCGTCGGCATCACGAAAATTTTGCAACCACTGTAACGCCTTGTGGTCAGTCCGGACTCGAAATTTGCGCCCCAATAAGTAATGACGAAAGTAGGAGAGGAAGTAGACGAGGGCTAGCATCTCACGTCGCGTCGTCGAATACCGCGTCTCTCTTTTGTCTAGCATTCGACTAGCATATGCTATCACTCGTATTTGTCCGTCAGAGGTTGTTTGCGAGAGAACGGCTCCTATTGCATGTGCACTGGCGTCGGTATCCAGAATGAAGGGCCCGCTACCAGCCGATGTGTCTGGAAACGATAGGACAGGGGGAGAAGTTAGACGTTTTTTAAGCGTGTCAAAGGCTACCTGGCACTCATTTGTCCAAACAAATTTCCGTCCTTTTTCTGTCAAGCGATGGAGAGGGGCTGCTATACTGGCGAAATTCTGGACGAAACGCCGGTAATAGGAGGCGAGTCCCATGAAACTGCGTACGTCAGCGGTCGATTTAGGGGTCGGCCAGTTAAGAACTGCTTGAGTTTTGCTGCTATCCGTATGTACTCCTTGTGGAGTAATCTCATGTCCAAGGAAAATAACAGATTTCTGCAGGAATTTGCATTTCGAGGCTTGCAGCTTAAGGTTACTCTCGCGTAAGCGTTGAAATACGGCGCGAAGGTTGGCATGATGGTCTTCGAGAGACTGGCCGAACACGATGATATCGTCCAGGTAGATGAGGCACTGTTTGGGGACTAGCCCTGCAAGTACTGTTTGCATGAGCCGTTGAAACGTAGCAGGGGCGTTAGACAGGCCAAATGGCATGGTTTCGAATTCGTACAGCCCCGTAGGCACAACGAACGCAGTTTTGGGGCGGTCTTCTGGGCGAATTTCAACTTGCCAATAGCCGGAAGCGAGATCTAGTGTGGAAAACCACTGTGCCCCACCTAAAGCATCTAAGGTAGCGTCGATGCGAGGCAAAGGAAAAGAATCCCGTTGTGTGATTGCATTTAAGCGGCGATAGTCGACACAGAGGCGGAGAGAACCATCTTTCTTTTTCACAAGAACGATTGGAGATGCCCACGGTGACGTAGACGGTTTAATCACCTTCTTTCGTAACATATCTGTTATCATGGTATCCAACTGCTGTTGGTAATGAATGGGCACTCGTCGCGGTGGCGTCCTAATGGGCAAGTTATCACCTGTCTGAATCTCGTGCTGTACGATATTAGTCCGCCCCATCACTTGCCCATCGTCAAATACACACTGTACTCCTGTAGCAGGGCCAGGGTGTCGGTACGGTCTTTTAGACTGAGGTGGGGGTTATCATGGATGTTCACCACTGTCATCTGGGTAAAGCACAAACATTAGCACTCTGGTTGCGGTTGACTGGTCGGCGACATGCGAGGTTATGTGTCCCCAGCCGAATTTGAAAGCGTCTTAGGTCAATGACAGCGTTTTTTTCAGTTAAGAAGTCCACGCCCAGTATGGCGTCCCATCGTATGCCATCACAAATGACGAATGACTGGACACAAGTAAAACCTGGGAACGTCACGGAAAGTGTGGCCATGTCCGTTACCTTTATAGGGGCTCCATTGGCGGTAATTAACTGGAGCTGATTGGGGAGAGGTTGAGGTTTGACCCCAAGTGTCTGGACCAATTGCGTGCGAACAACAGAGGATGATGCCCCGGTGTCCACCAGAAAAGTGACGTCAGTGCCCTGGAGTTTACCTTCAAGGAGGAGGGGAGATTTCGAGCAATTATCAAATAATGACACATCAGAACATGGCTCACCTTGCGGTTTTTTGTTATGCCCACATTTCCATGCTCGTCGCCCGAACCGGCGACAGTAATAGCACTTACTGGGGTCATCATGCCGTTGGGACGGAATTGGAGGTTGGCTTGACGATGGAGCATTAGGCCGGCGTTGTCGTGGTGCTGGGACGGTTGTTCTTCGCTCGGTGGTCCCGAGAGCATAGCAGGGCGTACTGGCAGCTGGAGTGAGAATATGCTCGACGCTCTCGAATCGCTTTACCACCTCAATGGCCTCTGAGACTGATTTTGCTGGCTGGCGTAGAAGCTGGCACTTGAGCTCATATGATGAGACACCTTGGGCAAAACGGCTACAGATAACATCATCTTGGTTCGGGTTGGGAAGGTTGGGAAATGCGCGCGATGCCATCTCGCGGAGTTGATGCAGGTAATCGAACGCTGTTTCGCCGGGCTCTTGACAGCGGCTGAGAAAGGTGTGCATGTACACCGAAGGGCTGGAGGTTTTGGCAAAACATTCGTCGAGGACACGCCAGTTGTAGCTGATGGGTTTGGACGCGGAGAAGCCCCCAGCGATAGCACGACGTAGTGCGGTGTCACTCATTGCTAGCATTATCTGAGTATATTGTGCGTGTGGAGTAAGACCGGATAAGAGAGACTCCATGCGAATCTTCCACATTTCATAATCGCTGTTTAGGTCCAAAGTTGGTAATCCTCGCACCGGTAAGATGTGTTCTGTGGCTGGGGATTGTGGGTTGACTTTTGGGGTGGAGAAGATTTCAGGAGGATCGGAAGAATCTGATTTCATTTCGAGATTGAGTTTTGGACACCTCCGACACCAATTGTAACACCCAGAAGCAACAGACACAATCAGCGAAGGAAGAAGAGGAAGATGCGAGAGGAAGGTCTATATTTCCAGCACGCAGGGCTCGAATTGCCCGGGTACAAGCTAATCATTGTCATTTATAACAAGGTTAGACAAACGGTCCTCCACCTGTTCCAGCACGGCCAGGCCAGCGTTCTTATCTGAAAAAGAGGAAACAGGAGACTCATTTAGTGATGTCATGTTAGTTTTTATATCATTACATAACCAAGCAGCAAAATGATATTTGAAATTACCTCAACTCGAACGACAAACTGGCCAATCACAAGCGAGCGAATCGC